GACACCTATTACCCCGCCTGGAGTCAAGATCCCAGTGCTCACTTAAGGGGAGGCCAGCCACGTGAAAGACACGAGCGGAGAAGTGGATAGTCATGCATCGACCGAAACATCTTTGAGATTGGGGAGGCAGCCTGGGCGATTTGAGCAGGAAACAAGGCCGCCACCCCAAGTCGAGGAGCAAACACTGACCATGACGAGAAGCGAGATGCAGAGGATGATTGCAGAAGCAGTAGCGGCCCAACTCAAACAGGCGCAAGTCGACCAACCCAGAATCGAGCAGCTCAAGATCGAGCAGCCAAGGGTCAAGCAGGCTCGAATCGAACAGCCTCCCCCGGAGCGTGAACAACAAGCCCAATCCCATGAAAGACAGAGTAGGAGGGCGGACGAGGAGGAATCTTCTGTCAGAACTATCAACCCGCAGGCAAGGAACGACACTCTCGAGCAGTTGCTAGCTCAGGTGCAAGACCTGCAGGCTCGAGTTGAAGGGAGAAAAACGGGGAGCTCGAGAGGACACCCCTTCTCGCAACATATTCTAGATGCTGACTTGCCTCAGGGGTTCAGAGAGCTTAACATCTGGTACGATGGGTCGACTGACCCCTCTCGACATCTGAGGAGTTCTAAAAACATGGTAGTACTGCACCGCTACAATGACCCTGTTCAATGTCGAGCTTTTCTGACGACTCTGCGAGGACCCGCGCAAGACTGGTTTCATCAATTACCCCCGGGAGCTGTCAGGGACTTTGATGGATTCAGCTCAAGTTTCCTAAACCAATTTGCAAGTGTGAAGGCCCAAGAGAAATCTTACCATACTTTGATAGGCATGCAACAGAATGAAGGAGAATCATTGAGGGATTACGTGGCGAGATACACGCGGACGTGCGTCGACGTCCCCTCGGCCACTGAGGAAATCAAGTCGGGAGGACTCACTAGAGGACTCCTCCCGGGACTGTGCAGAAACTCCTTAGCCAAACGACCTGGGAGGACGTTCGATGAGGTTTTAGGAAGGTGCGTCAAGTATATGAATGTGGAGGAGGCAGAAGCCGACTTTCGGCAGGTGGAAAAGACGAAAATCCTCCCCGATCCCCGGGAAGAGAAGAAAGATAAGAAGTCGAGTTCGATGATAGAAAGGAAAGGATCCTCAAGAGCAGAAAAAGAAGGACGTTCGAGGGGGTGGAGGCTAACTCAATATACCCCCCTGTTGGCCTCGAATGCAAGGATATTGGAGGTGATGAAGAAAGAGATTCGCGAAAATGTCGTCAGGTGGCCTCAAACGAGAAAGGATGGACCGACACAACCTAAAAGCAATCTGTATTGCCGATTCCACAAGGATTATGGGCACAACACTGACGAATGTAGACACCTCAAGGATGAGATTGAAAGATTAATCAAGGCCGGCCATCTGAAGGAATTCGTTTACAAGGATCGAGAAAAAACTAGTCGACGAAGGGAGAGAAGTAAGAGCCCCCGCAAGAGGGCGAGAACGCCCGACAAAGAGGACCTTCCTCTGAAAAGAGTAATAATTCATATAATATTTGGAGGGCCAACTGATGGAGATTCAAATCGAGCCAGAAAGGCGTACGCTCGAGGACGCCACGGAAAAACCGAAGTGCAGCAGGTCGAAGAGAACGGACCAGTAATGAATTTGGGCCAGCAGACATAGGAGAGGTCGAGAGACCGCACAATGATGCTCTGATGATCACTGCTCAAATATCAGGCTATGAGGTACAGAAGATCTTCGTCGACACAGAAAGTTCAGTAAACGTGATCTTTTATGACTGTCTCAAACGGATGGAACTCGACATCGAACTTACGCCCCTACACTCCTCACTTTTTGGGTTTAATGGTTCAGAAGTCGCACCCCTAGGGGAAACCACACTTGTTGTCGTCCTAGGGGAAGGAGACCAAAGGAAGGTAAAGATGGTGAGATTCGTTGTAGTCGACGTTGAGTCGGCTTATAATGTCATTCTAGGAAGGCCAGCGCTCAACGCATTCCAAGCAGTGGTGTCGACCTACCATATGAAGCTAAAGTTCCTCGTTGGAGATAGAGTAGGGGAGGCCCGAGGAGACCAGAAGTTAGCAAGGACATGTTATCAGATTGCAGTAAAAACAAACCAGCGAGCGGAAGTAAGGGAAGGAAAAAAGCCAATGTCGAATGAAAAGAGACCAAGGAAAAGCGACCTTGAGCTGCATGGAGAATTAATGGAAATTTAAATCGGGGAAAGAGAGGAGCAGACCACCAAAGTCGGGAAAGAGTTGGAGGAGGAATTGCGAAGGCAGGTTGTGGGATTGTTGAGAGAATTCAGAGACATATTTGCCTTTTCCCCTGAAGAATTAACGGGAATCGACCCCGATGTCATGGAGCATAAACTTAACGTCGATCCTCTCAAGAAGCCCGTGAAGCAACGACTTCGGCACCATGGAACGGAAATTGATAAAGCAATCGAGGTCGAGGTAGACAAGTTATTGAAAGCTAAACATATCAAAGAAAATCAATTTCCCGAATGGATCTCGAACACTGTAATGGTGAGAAAGGCGTTGAACAAATTGCGTATGTGCATTGATTTTCATGATTTGAACATGGCATGCCCGAAAGATCATTACCCCTTGCCAAGAATCGACCAGCTGGTCGACTCCACGGCCGACTGTCAGTTGCTAAGTATGATGGATGCATCCCAAGGATATCATCAAATTCCGTTAGCCCCCGAGGATCAAAGCAAAGTTAGCTTCGTGACGAGCAAATGGACATATTGTTATGTCGTCATGCCCTTTGGACTTAAAAACGCGGGGGCAACATATCAAAGGTTAATGGATCGAATGTTTAAATCGCATATAGGACGCAATATAGAGGTGTATGTAGACGACATCTTGGTGAAAAGCAGGTCCTCCACCTCGCATGTCGAGGATTTAAAAGAAACTTTCAGCACACTGAGGACATTTGGAATGAAACTGAATCCAAGTAAATGCGCCTTCGGAGTGAAGGCAGGACGATTCCTGGGGTATGTAGTGACCGAAAGGGGGATTGAAGTAAACAAGGATAAGGTAAAGGCCATACTCGACATGGCCCCACCATAGAGCATTAGAGAAGTACAAGTCTTAACAGGTCGAATTGCCGGTCTGAGCAGATTCATCGCTCGAGCGGTAGAGAGGAGCTTCCCATTCTTCAAAGTACTTCAAAAGAAAGCTTTTCAATGGGACGAGGAGGCGCAAATGGCGTTCGAAAAACTGAAAGAATTTCTAGGCGAATTGCCCCTATTAACCAAACCAGAGCCTGGTGATGAACTGGTCGTTTATATCTCTGTCGGAATGTTTTCCGTAAGCTCAATATTGCTAAGGGAGACAGGGGGAGCCCAACAGCCGATCTATTATACAAGTCAGGTACTCCAAGGTGCAGAGACAAGATACCCCGAGGTCGAGAAGGCTGCCCTGACACTGGTGATAACAGCTAAAAAGCTGAGACCCTATTTTCTGAATCATGCGATAGTAGTAAGGACAAACTTCCAGCTTAGAGAGACTTTGGGTTGACCTAC